TGTCTATTATCTCAAAGGGCCAACATAGCTTTTATTTATAATAAAAGTTTACTATATATATATTTGTATTCTATATCATAATTATTGAGTTTATTTTCTAATTTTACTTTTAATTGTTCGATTTAAGACTTTTGGCGAACAAAACGTAAGACAATTCTTTTTAACATATTCTTTTGATTTAAAATCTGTAATATTTTATAAATAAAAATTTTTTTTATGTGCTTTGTATAGGGAATGGGTTCGAATTTTGAAGAGTCCAAGGCAGTTTTCGATTCTTATTTTGAAAAAGGAGGAAATTTCATCGGTATATTTGTATATATGTATAAAGCATAATGCATTACATTTATCGATATTAATTCGCAAAAATATTTTAGATACTGCTAACTTCTACAATTTTGGCGAGGTAATGGCGTACTTTATATTTGATTATATTATGATCATAGTATTTTTTTTATATGCTAATCGTCTTCTTTATATGCTAATCGTCTTCTTTATATATATACAAAAGAGTGAACGTTTTCTCGGTGAATATATAGCTGATAAACGTTCTCAAGTTGTAATTGCCACTAAATATACTGGTATGCTAAATCCTGTTATTGCTTTACCATAAAAATTCATTATTTATCATAATCTTTCTTTTATTCTTTAAGGAAATATTACTGCTATGAAGCCAAATGTCAAATTCAACCCAAATGCCGGTAATTTCATTATTCATTTTAAAAGTTTACATATATGCTATTATAAGTTCTAAAAAATCGGTCTATTTTAAAGGTGGAAACCATCGAAAATCGCTTGTTGAAAATCTCGATGAAAGTCTTAAACTAATGGGGACTGGATATACTGATCTCCTGTATGTTCACGCTTGGGAATTCCGTACTCCGATTGAAGAAGTTATGCGTTCTTTAGATGACGTTGTTAGATGTGGGAAGGCAAATATATCATATTAGTTTCTAACTCTTAGTCACTTAACTCGACAGATTTGCATAATTAAATTATTTAGTTAATTAATTAATAATTATTAATATTCAACACAAATTCCTGCAGGCATTCTATATCGCGATCAGCAATACTCCTGAATGGGCGATTAGTCGTGCGAATACCATAGCTGAGTTTCGTGGTTGGAGGTAATATAATGAATATAATAATTTATATGCTATATTACTTATTGTAATATAAAAATAATTGATATTTGTTAATTTATATAAGTCGTTTTATCGGTTTACAAACTCGATATAATTTATTAAATCGATCCTTGGAATTTGGTTTACAATCTGCATGCGCTGAACTTGAAGTGTGTAATTCTTTAATTGTTTTGGGCATATGGTTTTGATTTTGATATACTTTTATCATGTCTGATGAAAATGCATAATTAACATGCCAATTGTTATCATCAAGATTGGAATTATTCCTTGGGGATGTATTGCTGAAGGGTAATTATCCCTTAACAATTTCTTAATTTATTCTGTTATTGCATGTAAATTTATCTACACTTACTCTCCTTTTTTTTGATAAAAGATTCTTAACTGGAAAATACACCAAAGAATCGGTTGCAAATTCAGATAAGACTGGTGGGCGTAATTACTCAATTCCTAAATTAGCGGCTGAAGAAAAAAATTGGGCAATTCTTGATGAAGTTAAAGCTATAGCTTCTGAAATTAATAAAAGTCCTGTTCAAGTAACTTTTCGAATTTTTTATCCTATATATTATTACTATAATATGTACAGTATATATTGTATATTTATAATAACTTTTTAATTAAAAGGTCGCTTTGAATTGGATCTTACAAAAACCTGGCATTACTTCACCTCTTATAGGTGCTAGAACAAAAGCTCAATTAGATGAAAATCTTAAAGTTCTTGAATTCAAGTAAATATTTTTACAAGATTTTTATTACATTTAATAATAAGTTTTTATTTATCATTTATTATAATTTTAGGTTAACACCTGAACAAATGGCAAGGTTAGACTCTATTTCTGCACCAACGGATGCACCATTTCCTTATAATTTTCTTGAGCAGTTTGATGCATATATTAGTAAAAGCATTCAAAGTCCTGACAAATTTAAGCCTTTGAGAAAAGTTATGGGTGACTTACATAAAAACCTTTGAAAAGTGATGGGTGATGTAAATAAAAGATAAATATCATAATAATATTTTATAAAAATTATATTTTCTGATTTTTAAATTACTTCAATCAGTATACTTTCTATTATATCTTCTTACTTCATTACTTTATTGAAATTCGGATGAAACCTAATTTACAATACTGTTTTTATTTAATTTCCGAGCCAATCAAAATTAAAAACAAAAAAATTTTTTTTGTTATTACAAAGATGTTTGCAATAACGGCTTTTTTAACTTACTTTGGATTTATAATTAAATCTGTAGAAAATTATTATATCTTCATATTTAATTATAGGTCAAAAGTAAGTTAAAAAGACCGTTTCTGAATCCATCCGTACAGTGGGGTACTATATGTTCGGATTTTTTTGTGTTGATTTCATATACGAATTTATAGTGTTACTATTGTTTTGGGAGAGCGTTATACAAATAAGTGCCGGGTTTAACTCCAATAGTTAAAGGTTATTTTATTTATCCCATAGGTACTATGTAACAACCCGTGCTTTTTTTCCTAGGTTATTCACACCGGTCAATATGAAAATCATGTGTCACATGATTTTCATATTGACATCGTTAACTATACATTTATATAATTTATAATTTATTTATTTATTAAAAAAGCATTTATTTATTTAAAATAAAAAAAAACTAAATACATTATTTAAAAATGATAATGAAAATGATAATGTATTTCTTTATTTGCATTATCAACATTATGTTTTTGAATATCTTGGTAAGTTAAAGGTAAGTAGCGATTTGACATATCGTTTAAGGGTGGTCTTGATTGTACTGACGATTTCGCAGATAATGGCTGGGGGATTCGTGATAGTCTTTTTACACCAGGTGGTTCAACTTGATTTTGGGGAACATCATTATTTGATATTCTTGAAGGTGGTTTAAATAGTTCATATTGTGAAACCTATAACGTGACCAGGTCGGGGTTCCCCCCCGTAAATTAATTGTACTCTAGTCTTTCGGGTACGCCGATTATAACCTGATTAGGGTTACCCGGCCCGAATTGTCAGAAAGGACTGAAACTTAGGAAAAGTCCTTTTGGGTGATAAGGAAGGGAACGCTGGTATAAGAATAGTCACTAAGGTCGTAATACTCATAAAGATCATAAAAGTAATTAAGGTCATAAGGGTAATAAAGGTCACTAAGATAATAACAATCATAGATATAGAACATGAATATACATATAGTAAACTTTTGTTATAAATAAAGGCCGTGTTGGCCCTTTGAGACAATAGACAATGTCTCCTTTGCTTTATTAAATAAGTTACTAATATCTAAAGCATAAATTCACTAAAACCTCTAACCATATAAACCCAAGATTCATTGTAATTACCTTCCAATATATTGAAACCCTGTTCAATTGTTGTATTCTAATATATCAGGATCAGCTATGGTTTATTCATTTTCAACTATCTGAAGTAATGTGATAGTTGTGGTTGTTTCATTGATCCAATTACCTGAAATAGTATAGTAATTGAGAATAGAATTAGTAAAGAATCAGTATAGAAGAACCCAAGACAAGTAACAAAAGAAGACTTACCTACAGACATCCAAATTACTTGCCAAATCTAACACACCTCTAATGACTAAGCTACCTGTAGGTCTAGTAGATTAGTGTTGCTGAATATCAAGAGACAAGAACTGACTAATCATATTTGGTAGTGACTGTGAAATCGAATAATTCAAAATATCATTACTTCTCCCAATACGAAAAAGAACTCAAAATTGTATGTTTTAAACTCATAAAGAAAGGAAAGCTCTAAATTGAATAAATGAGCAAAGAAGAAAAATTAGTGAAGATTTAGAAATAAGAAGGCAAGAAAATAAGTATGAAAGATTACTCACAATACTTACTGAAGAACAAGTTAATAAAGCACAGGAAATTATAAATGAAACTTTCAGAAGTCAATACCTCTATAGAAAACAAATTTCTCAAGCCTTGAAGTCCTTATTAAAAATATTAAAAAATATTAGTAAAAGGAGTAGAATAAATGAAAAATAGGAAATTATGTACTTACCTTAGTATATTAGCTTACTATTAACTCCAACAAGAAAAAACTCACAAGTAGTAGTACTTACTTCAGAAATTTATCTAATTAAGCCTCATCTGAGAAGAAAGCTAAAAATAAAAGTAACTGAAGTTCTTGATACCTACTTTGAAGTTTCTAATTCCTAAGTTGAAGTTTCTAATTCCTAAGTTGAAGTTGAAAAAGTCAATATAGAAGAACTTTGACAAGAGCTAGTTGCTAAATATGATGCTATGATAAAAAGGTAGTTCTCTAAAGAATAAACACCTGCTGAAATTGGTCTCAAAATGAATAAACAAAAAGGATCTGTGCTGTATTAAGGATCTGTAGAAATGAGCTATGCTAATAGAACAAATAATATCAGAAATATTAACAAAATAGATCATGTTGATGTTTGTTATGAAAATAGAATTAGTGTTGAAACAGATAAAAAAAAAGATCTAGATTATATTTGTGAAGACTAGACGAGAAAAGTTAAAGAATTTAAGTTGAAAATGAATGTTAAAAGTGAAACAGCAAATTACTGATTAACTGATAAGCTTGAACTACTCAAATTGGATTTCAAAAAAGCTTGCAAAAGCTGAATAAAAAGAGTTAATAAGTTTAAAAAGAACAAAGAAAGTCTAAAAGAAAAAAGTTATATTTACTAAAGCTAAGTGAACTCAAAGAACTATATCTAGCAAAATTGAAGTATAATCAGAAAATGAAAGAGATAACAAACATCAAAAAAGAGAGGTCTACAGCAAAAGAAGAGATTGAAAATGAAGCCAGTAAATCAAAGACAAGAGGTTGAATATGAGTCAAAAGAAAGATAATCTTCAAAGAAACATTAACATCTATTGAACTAGAACTACTACCAAGAAAAAAAAAAAATGATAAAAAAGAACCTAAAGATAAGAATTAGAATAAAGAAATTAGTAAAGACAAACAAGAATAAAAAGACAAAGAAAGTAAAGAATACTTATTCTATAAAATTAATCAAGGATAGAACCCTACTATGAAAGATTTATTAAAGTTAGAATATCTAAAATCTTTATAGATCTTATATAATAAAGTTTAAGAGAAGAAAGTCAAAAGGACTATTAAGATTTTTATAATGCTTTGTCTATTACTACATCATAGTTTAACTCCTGTGCTTACTCAGTAATTTATGTATAATATATATAAACTAAGCAAAGGAGAATATAAAACCTATAATATAATCAGATCAAAGTTCTCTCTTTTGTAAATTAATTGTACTCTAGTCCTTCAGGTACATTAATTATAATCTGATTAGGGTTACTTGGCCTGAATTGTCAGAAAGAACTAAAATTTAAAAAAAGTCCTTTTAGGTGATAAGAAAGAGAATATTAGTATAAGAATAGTCACTAAAATTATAATACTCATAAAGATCATAAAAGTAATTAAAGTCATAAGGGTAATAAAGGTTACTAAAATAATAATAATTATAGATATAGAATACAAATATATATATAGTAAACTTTTATTATAAATAAAAGCTATGTTGGCCCTTTGAGATAATAGACA